TTTTTTAAAAATAATTTTCTCAGAGTTTCATGTAGGACATACTTTGTTTAGTTGTGACAATGTGAAATATGACTTACCAACAGGATACTTGGCTATAGAACGAGTGGTTGCATATTTAAGGGAAGGATGCTCAATAAGATAAATATAGCAGGGTAACGGAGCCAAAGAAGTCTGAAATGAATTGAAAACATTTTTCTTATTATGTCAAGACCATATGTTTTGTTTTCTTTGCTGCTAGAGAGTCAATAATGCCTTCAATATGTTTTACTATATAAACTAAAATTAGTAAGACAGCTTTATAAAACATACTCTAAAATCCAATATTGTTCTTAAAGCTTTGAAAACATAAATAAACTACATATAAATTGAATGATGCATAGCTTCCTGGGTAAAATGTACATTAAATTCTCAAGAACCATGATTAAAGAATATGAAATGAATTTTCCTTCAGAATGGATTTGGTTATTTCTTTTTTTAAATCAGTGGTTACACTTACTGTTTAGCTTAGTATTGCTCTTAAAGAATGTTGTTTCTAACCCTGTAGTCCAGGTCTTTGAATGAGAATTCAAGACAGGTCTCTCAGTTTTGATAACAATGTCAGCTATGCTGCTTCCATGCCTGGCAATCAAAGCATTCAGCTTTCCTTCAATGAGCGATGAAGAATAGCTACATTATGATCTCCTACTAGAACTATGTAGTTATTGTCAAAAACTCAAAGGAAACAAAAATAATAGTTAATCTTTCCTGTCTTCCAGATATTAGGCTAAATGCTTTAAATACTTTATCTCGCTTAAGGTTTTTAACAGCCATATAAGTAAATGTTACTATGTCAACTTTATCAAATGAGGAAAGCAATGTATCTTGTCCAAGGTTAGTGAATGAGAAAGCCAGGATTTGAACCCAGGTTCTCCTGGGTACATGGGACAAACTCTTTCCATTAAATCATACCAGCTCTCTGGAAAGAAGGAAGGGTATTTATTACACAATAATAAGCATACAGATGATTATTTGTGTTTTTGCTTGGTTGTTATTTCCTAGCATTTTTCTCTAGCTACATGCACTGTATTGCTAAATTTTTCATCTTGTAGATTTCTGAGCCTTAAAACGATTAGCTATATGAAATATTGAAAGATCAGATGTGTGCTGGGGTATCTGAATCAAATGGAGAGAAGGACAGACTAAAGAGAGACAATATTTTTATCGTTGGTCTATAGTCAACATTAAATGACTATTTTTGGAGCTTCCTAAAACTGTAATTGAACTACTTCCACCACACCATTTTAAAGTTTGGTATTAATTTTACCAAATAGCCTATGATTTGACAGCTGTCTAGATAAAAGATTTATAATTTTATAGACACAAGAATCTATCAATGTTTTATGATTTTATTCACTGTATTTATCATGTGACTCATTTCCTCTCCCTTTTCTCCTGCTTGTCACCACAACCTCCATTCTGGGGCTCCTCCCACTTCCCCATCTCTCTTAGACCCGCCCTCCTGACACTTTTCTGGTTGTTTTATAACTATAATTGACTTAAAAGTACAGGTCTTATGCTAAGTTATAAATTAGTAACATTGACATTACCTTAATGTAATGAAACATCTGAATTAAAAAGTCATTCCTGGAATCTTCAAGAATAAGAGTGCATCCCATGTTAGAAGTAGTATTGTGAAGGTCAAAAATGATGTCATAGGAATCTTCACTGTCTTTTGGACCAAATAAATGATTTATTTCTTGAGCCCTTCTCACTTCATATGGCAGATCCTCTGACATTTTTTTGCTGTTATTAGCAAAAAGAAAAAGATTAAAAATATCTGTGGCTAATATAACACAAATATACAATAAGAACACAGTGTATAAGGAACCAGTTGACAAACTTTAATATGAAAAACCTGTGAGGGAAGTGGAAACTTATTTGAAAACTTTACAAATGAAAAATTACAATTTTTCTTTATTTGATTCTATGTACTGATGCATCGGCATGATTGCAAATAATATTTCATTATGTGGCTGTCAAAGGAAGGACATTTCAAACAGAATTTACCACTTGACTTCAACTTCAAACAAAATATATTCATTGATTTAATCAACAATTTCTTAGTAGTTATGTGCACTGAGATATTCTGGGCCTAGTCTAGGGGTGGGGAACTTTTTTCTGCCAAGGGCCATTTGGATATTTATAGCATCATTTGCAGACCATACAAAATTATCAACTTAAAAATTAGCCTGCTATATTTGGTTAAACATTTAGTTACTTCACCCCTAATGCCTTGGCAGGGCCAGACCAAATGATTTCCCAGGCCTGTACAGCCCACAGGCCGGATGTTCCCCATCCCTGAGATAGACAATCAAATGGAATTGTTTTTGTCCTATAGCTAATTCCAGTGCATAAAAATAGTTAAACTTAGATAATGTTCACATTCTTAATTGAGGTCTGGGAACCACTAGTGATCTAGGGATAAGCTTTATAGACAAGTTTGTAAAACCTGAGAAAATGCAAAACTTTTGCAGGTATATGCATATTTTTTTCTGGGATAAAGCTTAATAATTTTTATTGAATTCTGAATTGAGTCTCTACCTGTCCCCTTCCCCCTCCAGTAATGGTTAGGATATATTTTCCTGCATTAAACCAACCATTTCTCTATAATTCCATCTATGTATTTCAATTTCCTGACTATTTTTGCTACTATCTTCAAGAGACTTTGCATCTGGATAATTCCTGCCTGGAATGCTATCAAGAAGGTGGAGCAGCTGTGTTTTGGCTAGAAAGCAAAAACTCTGAGGACAAAAGTGCATGCTAAGGATGGTGCAGTGGGAAGATGGGAAGAACCTGTGGCATTTATGATATAATTGAGTCACTGCATCTCTGGATTTATTATTTGTGAAAAAGAAAATCTTATTTGTTTAAGCCACTGTCTTTATGTTTCTATTGTATAT